TATTGTCTTGTTGTGAATTAAAGCACACATGAAACAACATAAATACAACAAGAAAGCATTAAAGGGTACAGGTGGAAGTGTTAGGAATATCAAGGTCTATGCTGATCTTAGCCAAAAGGCTGAAAAGCAGTAGGAATATAAGAAGTCTAAATTGTAAGAAAAGACTTCAGAAAAAAGAGTAAGTTTTGTATCTTAAAATGTACTCCAGGGTACAAAAGTAAAAAAGAATGATAAATAAGTACACATATAAGAACAATCCAAAAGATGAAGAAATGAAACGCTAAAAGAAATGTAAACACCTGGGCTGGTGAGATGACTTACCACCAAACCTGATGACTTGAGTGCAATCCCTGGAAGGAGAGAATCTATTCCTACAAGTTGTCCTCTGAGCTGTGGCACAAACATGCATGCCTACAGGGACAAGGACAGGGACATGAACACACATACACAAAACAAAAAACAAAACAAAGAAACTTCAAAACTTATCTCTTTAACAACAACAGCAACAACAACAACAAAAACTCCCTAAAAAGTAAAAACTTAAATGAGAGACGTGGCAGTGTTCAAATACTTTAAGAGCCAGATAGCAGAAATAATACATCTTATACCCATTTAACTTACAAGCTGACCTCTGGTAAGATGTGCCCAATGCTCAAGGGCAAAGAAAGTGACAGCTGTTCAATAGAGTCACAACAGGAAATGCCAAGAGGGAAAGAAAGGAAGCAGGTGGTCAAGTTCTCAACAACTTTTCAAAGAACAGGGTATACTGAGCACAATGAAACAAAAATCTAGATATTTTCAAATCTTGTAAACATTTATTGACTGCTTTATGGCCATGTACTTTCTTTCCTACATATCACCTTAATATTCACAATATAGCCATAAGCATTTATTAATGTGACAGAGACTTAATGTAACAACAGAATTAAATAAACTGACTGAAGGCAACACATCAGAATTCTCCATCTCTCACACTCTAACAGATTATTTTAAAAAGCAAAAGGGTTTGGAGGCCTTGCATATCTACATAAAATTTTACCTCCCTTGCTCCTTCCTCCAGTAAAGCTGTATTTCCTGGCCTTTGATGTGCATAAGAACTCTAAATGATTATATACACAAGAACATGTACATTCTACTTTCTGAGCAATTTAAGGGATTGTCATGTATAGTTTTCACTTTGTAATTTCTGTCCATGCACCAATATGAGGGCCAGGCTTACTCCTAGGTTATCCTAGGTTAAAAAAAGTCAAATCACACAGGAAAAAGTGTTCTAAAAATTAGATGTAAGGCGGACTACCTGAAGTAAGAATTTTCTTTCACTGAAGGTTTTCATATACAGGCTGAAAAATTATTCAGAACATTTCAAAAAATAACTGGGTGAGAATTTGGAATTAATCTTAAGAGTCTAGAATGAGTAGACTTTTACGATCTGATAGGCGGGAGGCAATAAGCTAGCTGAAAGCGGTAAGATGAAGAAAGGCACAGAGGGTCCCAGAACTGGCTCAGCAGATACAGGCATTTGTTGCCAAGACTGAGGACCTAGGTTCCATCCACAGAACCCACTAGGAAGGAGAGCACCATCTCTCAGAAGCAGTCCTCTAACCTCCACATACATGCATGGTGCACGCTCACATACACATAAATCAATTAACTAGTTATGGCATGATATGTGGAGACGTTTGATGCTAGAAACAAGAGTGCATTCTAGCTGTAGACCTTCACAATTGCTGTCTCATCTGTCAGAAAAGCTCTTCCATCTTTTGGGCCACAACTCATATACCTTCTCTCTAGTGAGGCTTCTCTAAGTAACACTCCGCTCATCCCCTAGTTACCCACTTGCAATGTCAGTGTATTTTATTTTCTTTGTAACTTCTATTAGGGATCAGCAAAGTTTTTCTATACAAGTCCAGCTACAGCTTTCCCCAGGTTTCTGTGTGGCTTGTGAACTAAAACTAGTTTTACATATTTAAATGGTAGAGGGAGGGGAGAATGTGGATTTCATGACATGTGAAAACTGTATGAAATTCAAATTTCAGTCTTCAAGTACAACTGGAAAAACAGACATGCCAGTTTACCTTCTGTGTGTGGCTGTTTACATGCTAAAACAACAGCTGAATGGCTGCAATGGAGGCCATTAATATTAGATTGTTACTATAATAAAGTTAATATTTTGGCCAGGCATGATGGCACATGCCTTTAATCCCAGCACTTGGGAGGCAGAGGCAGGCAGATCTCTGAGTTGGAGGCCAGCCTGGTCTACACAGTGAGTTCCAGGCCAGCTGGGGCTCACAAGAAGACCTTGATGGAAAAAAAGGGGGGAAAAAAAAAGTTAGTTAATATTTTAGACCCATAAAGCCTAAAATATTAACTTTTTCCTTCACAAAAAACACATACTGCCTACTAGCTTATATTACCTGAAATGATCCTGTCTATCTGCTTGTTAGCAGTTATTCCTTATCTCCACATCTCCACACATCTCCACACACAGAATAAAAAGCTCTGTCCTTCACTGTAGCCTAGACAGAATTCGGGAATAAAATAAGAGGTTAATAAATATCTGATGACAAATGGGGGGCTGGAGAGATGGCTCAGCCATTAAGAGCACTGGCTGCTCTTGCAAAGGACCTAGGTTCAGTTCCCAGCACCCACATGGTGACTAACAACCATCTGTAATTCCAGTTCCAGAGGACTGGATGCCCTCTTCTGCCCTCCTCCGGGACTCCACGATAAGGGTGCACTTACATACATGCAAGTATGACACACACACAAAATAAAAATAATTAAAAAATTGATAGTCTATAAATGCCACTCTGAGTTTAAATATACTCCTACAGAAAAAGGGAAATGTTCTAGTAGAAAGACCAAACAGCTCAAAGTATTGGTGGTCATCAACTAGTATAAGACACTGACACTCATTAGAAATTTTTATGCTTTTAAGAGTCACAGCATAGTCAGGTGCCTGTGCCTCTGTTTAACTTAAGATGCAAATAATCTAAGAAATCTCATTTCCCATACACAGTACACAGCACTGACACATACCAAATCTTTAATAAATGGTCACAATTACAAGAGATCATGTGCTAATGAATTTTTAATATCTACAATTTTCCTCCTATGTGGCTCATCAGCCATCTACTCTGTAAGCAGCTAAAAACTAGAAATTAAAAGGTTGCCACCCACAGACCAGAAGCAGCTTTTTAATCTTTCTCTAGCCAGAGAGTGGGTGTGTGAGTTTCAAAAAACACAAGCCAACTCTGTTGGTGGAGGGGTATTATTGGGTTAAAATCCCACCTTACAGCCTGAAGAGATGGTTCAGCTTGTTCTTGCAGAGGACCTGGGTTCAATTTCTGGCGCCCACATGGCAACTAACAACTATCCATAACTCCAATTCCAAGGGAATTCAATGCCCTTCTGATCTCCTTGACATTGCATGACAGGAGTGCACTTCCATACATGCAGGCAATATACTCACACACATAAAAAATTATAAAATATTTTCTAAATAAAAATAAAATCCCACCTTATAAACATCTTTGTTACATGACACTAGTAAAACATGACACCCACTTACAATTTCAGTCTCAATCTTCTAATCTACAAATGAAAGGAAAAAACTGTGCCCACCTCCAAGAGAAATTTTATGTCACTAACATTTCCATTAAGGTACTTTTCTTTCAGGCTTTGCAACAATTTCTATACACAAATTCTATGAACTTCAGAAAGACAAGGGTTTGGTTTAATTTCCAAAATTTAAGACGCTGGACACAGGAAAAAAATCAAGGTTCTGCTTTATTTTTAAAGCAGCTACCTGATTTTTTCTTTTCTTTAATATTTTATTTATTATTTTTATTTTATGTGTATGCATATATTGCCTGCATGTAGGTAAGTCCACCCGTGTTATGCAATGCCTGCAGAGGACAGAAGAGGATGTTGGATCCCCTGGAACTGGAGTTACAGACAGTTGTTAGCTGCCATGTGGGTGCTGGGATTCGAACCCGAGTCTTCTGCAATAACAGTCAGTGTTCTTAACCACTAAGCTATCTCTCCAGCCAGCTACCTGATTTGTTTCAATCCTGGAAGTTTTCTTTTCTAATACTAAGACAGTTTAGGAAATCTAGCCTTTCAGAGATGTTCATAGTATAGGAATCTTTTGACAAGTATGTCAGACTTACAGCAACCATTTTGGATGGAATTGGGGGTCGTCTTTTCTGTTCTAGATACAAGTCAAGACACTGGCTAAGTTCTACCAAGTTATCGTATAATGTGTCCACTAAAGCAAAGAAATTCGCCAAGAGTTCAAGTGGGCTGCCTCCAGGGCCCCCGCAGCAGATCCACCTGGGGGGATCTTCACCAACACTGTCCAGGAATGAAGCGAGGCAGTCACTGGACCATCGACACCTTTGCTGAGGCTGAAAATCTGCCTTGGCAGGAAAGGGCAACTTGCTGTGTCCCCTTTCTCTTCCACAAAGTGTTAATAAAGGGCACCCTAGGGCCAAACCCGGCCCACCTCGACTCACGTCTCACCTCGCCACCACCGGGTCCCCCCAGTACAGCCGGCTTCCAGCTCCGGTTAAACCACAAGTTCAAAATCAAAACAAAAGATGCACAACTGGTTTCAGGTAGCAATGGCTGAGCCAGGGTGGCCAACTTCTGGGGACCGCAGGGCATGGTGAGAAGGGCTGCCGAGGACCTCAGGCCCCTAAAGGGAGTCAGTCAGCTGGCTGAGAGTCCCTCGGGCTTCGACCAAGTCCTCACAGCCCCAAAGGGAATGCCGGAGAGCCCCGGAGTCAAAATGACAGCCGGGGAAGGCTGAAGGCCCGGCAAGGCTGGGTCAAGCCCCAGGCCCGGTTTCTAGAAGCTCTACCCCGGGCAGCTGAGGGTCCAAGCCGCGCCAGGCCGCGAGGCAGCCGGGCCCACAGCGGTGACGCTGGTAGCCCCCGACTCCTCACCCACGGCCTGGACAGACCGCGGGCCGCGTCCGGACGGGGGCAGTCACTCACCGGCGGCGAAGCAAGATGCAGCCGGTGTCTCCGCCAGCGTCGTTGCTCGGGCTCCAGCGCCAGCTCCTGCCACTCCGGCCGCCGCGCCCGGTCCATCCCGGTCCCCAACCACCCCCCTCCCGGCCCGCCCCCCCGCGCTGCCTCAGCCGCCTCAGCCGCCGCAGCCGCCGCAGCCGCTTCGGCCCCGGGCGGAGGAGCACAACCCGGCGCAAGGGAACGACAGCAAGAGCGCGCGCCCCACCGCCACCGCCCACAACCTCCGCCCCCGGTCGACAGCGCATGAGCAAGGCGGCGCCGGGGCGGGGACGCGCACGCCGCGGGGGGCGGGACTGGGCTCCGGAAGGCGTGGCCACTCTTCCGGCCCGCCCACACACGGGCGCGGGTCTAGTAGCGCTGCCGGTGGCGCGGAGGACTCCAGGTGAGTTCCTAGTAGGTTCGAGTTGCACCAGTTCCTCGGCTCCTCGGCTCCCCGGCTCCTCGACTTCTCGTGTCTTAGCATGCTGAGGCTCCTCGGCTCTTCAGCTTCTCAGCCCCTCAGCTATTAGGCTATTCAGCTCCTCAGCTCTTCGGGTCTTCGACTCCTTGGCTTCTCGTATCCAGAAAAATGGTATTAAAGTTTTTTTAAAGTGAATGATAAATATACATGAAATTGTCAAAGATGAAGTTAATTTTTTAAATGGGTGATAAGCCTACACGTAGAACATAAAACTGAAAAAAGAAATTTAGAAGAAAATGTAGAAAAAATTTTGTAACCTTCGATTTGGCAAAGATTTATTTAAAAACAAAACAGAAAAACATAAATGAAAGTGAGTTTTTTATATCAAGAATTAAATATTTTAATAATTGATTTCTAGCCCATTATATTCAAATATTACCAATATGTAGCTAAAATAAAAATTATCAATAGACTATTTTATCTATTCTTTTTCATACAGTTTTGAAATTCATGTGCAGTTTTATGTTTATAGAACATCTTAGTTTGAACTAGCTACATTTCAAGTGCTTTTAAAGTAGGTGCTATTGGGCAAGAAAGTATTTTTGCTGTGGGTTCTCTTTGCCAGCCTCTGGGAAAGTTATTGTTATTTTGTACTGGGCTCAGTTTGACTCTTCCTTTTCCCCTTCTTATATACTTTAGTCTCTATTTGTTGCCCACTTAAAAGTTTGTGATGAAAGTAAGTTTTATCAAAACTTCTGCTGTTAAAAAAACATTAAGAAAGCCGGCGTCAGAGGCAGGCAGATCTCTGTGAGTTCAAGGCCAGCCTGGTCTACATAGTGAGTTCCAGGACAGCTGGGGCTACAGGGAGACCCTGTCTCAAAAAGCCAAAAAAAAAAAAAAAAAAAAATTAAGAAATTGAAAGCCAGAGCCAAGTGTGGTGATACAAGCCTTTAATCCTAGTACTCAGGGGGCAAAGACAAAGAAGAAACAAAAAAATAAATGAAGGCCGGCACTAGGGAGGCAGAGGCAGGTGAACCTCTGTGAGATCATGGCCAGTCTCATCTGTATAGCGAATTTCAGGCCAACTGGAGCTACAGGGATACCCTATCTCAAAACAAACAAAACCACCACTATGAAGAAAATGAAAAGGCAAGTTACAGATGGGAAATGGACTGTGCAATATAATAAATGCAATGGAAGTCTTGTGTCCAGAATACATAAAAATTTTTCACTCTCAGTGCTAAGGCTCCAACTCAGGGGCCTTGCACATGCAAAGTTCTGTACCTCATCCTCTGCCCTTAAAGAACTCTTAAAACAATAATAAGACAAAAAAATCCAGTAAAGCAGTTTCTTTGTTTTGTTTTGTCTTGTCTTTGATTTTTTTGGTCTTTTTGAGACAGGGTCTCCCTGTAGTCCCAGCTGGCCTGGAACTTGCTATGTATGCCAGGCTGGCCTCAAACTCACAGAGATCTGCCTGCCTCTGCTTCCCAAGTGCTGGGGCTAAAGGCATGTGTCACCATGCCCAGCTATTTTTTTTTTTTTTTGTCTTTTTGAGACAGGGTCTCCCTGTAGCCCCAGCTGGCCTGGAACTCGTTATGTAGATCAGGCTGGCTTCAAACTCACAGAGATCTGCCTGCCTCGTGTATGCGTGTATTGCCTGCATGTAGGTAAATGCACCCATGTCATGCAGTGCCTGTGGAGGTCAGAAGAGGCTGTTGGATCCCTTGGAACTGGAGTACAGACAATTTTTAGGTGCTGTGTGGATGCTGGGATTCGAACCTGGGTCTTCTGCAAGAACAGCCAGTGTTCTTAACCACTGAACCATCTCTCCCAGCCCCAGCTATTATTTCTAAGTATGTGTCTGTATATATGTCTGTGTACATGAGTTCAGGTGCCTGAGGAGGCCAGAGGTTTCAGATCCCCTGGAGCTGCAGTTCCAGGTAGTTGTGAGTCACCTGACATGGACACTGGGAACTGAACTCTGGTCTGGTCCTCTGAAAGAGCAGTACCTGGTGATCTTTTTTTTTTTGAGGGGGGGGGGGCTTTTTGAGACAGGATCCCCCTATAGCCCCAGCTGGTCTGGAACTTACCATGTAGACCAAGCTGGCCTTAATCTCACAAAGATCTGCCTGCCTCTGCCTCCCGAGTGCTGGGACTAAAGGCATGCACCATCATGCCCAGCATCAGTTGAGCCATTGTTCTAATTTCCACCTTAATAATGATTAGTCACCCCAGCCTCTACAAGAACTCCTTTCTTTGCCTATTGGCCTGAGATACCAAAAGTGACCAAGTGTCTCCCTGTACAACTAAGACTCCAAGACCAGAAGAGCTCTGGCTGTAACAGGACCCTGACTAAAAGACATCCATCTTACCATCCATTGTGACCTGGCCTAGTTATTTTCCAGTTTCCCCGAAATTGCCTACACCATATGGGGACCAGGAATTCTTAGAAGATGCCACGTGTCTGGCCAAGATGAGATAAGCTGCTTCTGTCCATGCTTGCTTGCTTGCTCTGGGGAGTCAATAATTTTAAACTTTTACTGACCTATGCAAATATATGCTTGAGTCTGAACCATGATGATTGACCCACTGATGTTCTATTTGAGCCATGCTTTCTGTAATCCTATAAAAACTCTGGCTGGCTGATGCTCAAGGCTGCTTCTATTCCTGACATAGACAGCCCAGTTGGCCAAAATAAAATTTTACCTTGCTACTTTCAATTAAGTGGTGTTGGTGATTTTTATTTGGAATCTGGCATATAACACTGGCCATTTCTCCTTCCACGTGAAATTAGCAACCAAGATATTGCTGGATGTGGCGGCAACCAAGATATTGCTGGATGTGGTGGCGTATGCCTTTAATCCCAGTACTTGGGAGGTAGAGGCAGGCAGATCTTTGTGAGTTCTAGGCCAGCCTGGTCTCCATAGTGAATCCAGGACAGCTGGGGCTACAAGGAGACCCTGTCTCAAAAAGACAAAATAAAAACCAAGCTACCATTATCCTTCAGTCCCATCCCTGAAGCAGCTGTATATCTCTGTGTAGGTCCTGTGTTTAATGTAGAGCCATTGTAAACCAGACTATAAATCAGGAATGAGTGTTCTCTTCCTCAGTGAACAGTTCATAGTGAGTAGGCCATAGGCCACAGGCCACAGGTGCAAGCTATAAGAAAAAAAGGTAGTATAGTAGGAGTGAAAACCATTGGCCTTTGGGCCACTTCCTCGTGCCTTCCTTATGCCTTCAAGGCCCATTTGAACCACCAGTGTCAATACAGGATAACCTCAGTTGAATGAAGTGCTGCTATGCATATGCAGTTTTATCGCCTATTGAATCAGCTAACACTTTTGCTCAGAGCACCTGAGTGTTCAGTGACCACCGATGCCCAGTAAGCCAAAGGTGTCTCTACAAAGGAAGGCGAGTCTTTGCTCCAAATTTTAAGGGTCTGTACTGTAAGTTCCTTGGTGGGGCCAGCCAGAGGGTCTAAACAGCATTTCTATCAGCCCCCCCCCTCACAAAAAGACTCTGGATGGTTTTCAGAAATCTTGATCTTAAGTGTTTCTTTCAGGGCAGATCTAGGAGCTTCTAAGTCATCTAAGCATAGCTTAAGCCTGGACTTTGAATATTTGAGCTCAGTGGAATTAGGATCAACCAGCCAAAGCCACTGTGTGCCTTTGTTTAACAGCACTGGTCTAGGAACAAATATATGGCCATTCAAGGCTTCATTTCTACCAGTACTTCATTAGGAGCATCCAGTGACTCATCATGCCATTGACTACCAGGGTCCTCTGTCTTCTTTATACCTACTGGAAATAGAGTCATTAATGTCTCTAATCTTATTAGAGAACCAATTCAACAAAACCCAGCACCAATTCAGAAAACTCTTATCTTACTCATTGACTGGATAGAGGACTCTGCAGGTAAAGACATTCGCCCTGATGACCTGAGTTTGACCCTCAGATCCCACATTGGAAAGAGAAAACCAACTCCTGAAAGTCATCCTCTAACCTCCATGTATTCATTATGGCGCGCGCACACGTGCACACACACATACACACACACACACACACACACACACACAGGTAATAAATTTTTAAAAGATTTTAAAGATTCTGCCCTTCTTGGGCTGGGATATAGCTCAGTGGTAGTGTGCTTGCCTGTCACACACAAGGCCTTTGGTTCCATCCCCAACACTGAAAAAGAAAAATTATTAACTTTAAAATAACTTTTAGCATATAAAATCAAAAACTAAATTTTAAAGCCAGGCACAGTGACTCAGAGAGCCAGAGAGATGGCTCAGTGGTTAAGAACACTGGTTGCTCTTGCAGAGGACTGAGATTCAGTTCCCAGAACTCACATAGCAGCTAACAACTGATAGATGAAGTAGAACGATGAATCAGGTTGACTGGGAGAAAGCAGTTTATTAGCAAAGGAAGCCTCGCAGGGGACAGATTCCCTTCTGGGGTAGGGAAAAATGTCAGCCCACAGGTTGTGAGCTGGGATCTTTTGGGGAGGGCTTCAGGGGGTGCAGAAGGCAGGAAGATATATTTTTTAAAGACGGGGGGGGGGGCTGTTAAAACCCACCCCGTTTTGAGATCAAAGGGGAAGCCTGCTGTGCTGGCCAAACCGTGCAGAAAAGTCTGCTTTTGACTTCA